TTTTTAAAAATCAAACCATCAATCGTATGAATATCGTCACGAACATTGTAATAATTCTTGACCGATGGACTTACTCCACTTTTAGACTTTGGCCAGTCACTGAGACAATAATTTTTTATTATTTGCAAATCTAAATCTTCCAAAGTAGCCTTTTTTATTTCTTCTAGCTTAGTAGGTGAAACTGCTAAATTGGAAACGAAGAAATTCATATGAATACGTAATTCTTCCTCTAACGAATCATCCAGATCAGCTGGTTCAACAGGTGCTCTACTGAGAGTATCTGCTATGAAAAGATTTTTACCAGGAGTGTAAATAACTTCTAAATCATATTGTTGTAAACTCAGCATCATACGTTGAAGCCTCGATGGTACATTCAACAAAGGTTTATCGAACAATACTACCAATGGTTTGTGATCGGTTTCTACAACAACTTTCTGTCCATAGATATACTGATGAAAACGTCGACACCCAAACTGAATTGCAAACAATTCTTTTTCAATTTGCGCATATTTCATTTGACAATCTGTTAATGACTTTGAAGAGAATGCAATTGGGCGATTATTTTGCATTATCACTGCTCCAACTGCAAATTTTGAACTATCAACAGACAACTTTAATGGAAATTTTTGCTCATAATATGTTAGCACAGGTACATGACAGATTATTATTTTCAGCGAGTCATATTCTTTTTGATGTGAATCTGTCCAATGCCAAGCAATATTTTTTTTCAATAATAAACGAAGATTATAAGTTTTATCCGCCAAATTCTGAATGAATGTTCCAAAGTAGTTGACCATACCTAAAAATCTTCTTACTTCTGCAACATTTTGAGGAATAGGTAAATCCAAAATAGCATTAATTTTTTTAGGATCAGGACTCATTCCTTCAGAATTGAATACTTGGCCTAAATACTTCACTTCTGAAGCCTGAAAATTACATTTTTCCGCATTGAATTTCAAATTGACATTTCGAGCTCTTTCTAATACTCTTTTTAATATTTCATTATGCCCTTCAATAGTATCGCTATATATTAAGATATCATCGATGTAAATTGTAACACCTGGTATATCAAGAAATAAATCTGTCATTACCTTGTGGAATATTTCTGGTGCGCATGACACTCCGAACGGAAGACGAAGAAATCTATAACGTCCAAAAGGCGTTCCAAATGTGCACAACTTGGAACTACTTTCATCTAACTTAATCATCCAAAATCCTGACTGAGCATCTAATGTTGAAAAATATTTTGCCCCTTTCAACTTCACACGAATTTCCTCAACAGTTGGTAGTGAGTAATGACAGCGCTTGATCGCCTTGTTCAGATTTCTTGGATCCAAACAAAGTCGAATATTTTTATTTTTCTTTTCAACGATTACGACGGAATTGACCCATTCTGTTGGTTCATCAACTTTAGTTATAACATTTAGAGACATCATTCTTTCAAGTTCAGCTCTCAACTTATCCATCAACATGAATGGAATCTTTCTTGGTGCATTCACGACTGGAATTACATTTTCATTAACTGATATATGGCATTCACCTGGTAGACATCCTAATCCTTTAAACGTATCTTTATATTCATTTACAATCGATTCACTAGAAATATTGTAGATTCTTTTGATCAATCCCAACTCCTTACATGTTGGTAATCCCAGAATTGACTGACAGTCGATATTGGCAATGACAAATTCAACAGATACAGATAAATCATTATTGAAGATACAATCAATTTTTGATGTACCTATAATCGGAATATTTTCACCCGAAAATGATGTTAACTTTACAAAGCTAGACCTAATATCCTTATTCAAATCTAAACCTTCGAAAGTTTTTCTCGAAATAACATTCGCCTCTGCCCCTGTATCTATGTGAAAATTTAGAATTTTTCCCCCAATTGTTACTTGTACCAACCATGCCTCATCGTTTTTTTTTGCATTTTCACGACTTAAAGATCTTATAACTAAAAAATCATCTTGATTGTCATTGATATCTTGATTTTCTTGAACATTATCTACACCTACACATTTGACATTTTTGTTAAAGAAACAACATCTTGTATAATGACCTACCCTTTTACATATACCACAAGTGACACCTTCAGCTGGACATCTCGATCTATGAATTTGGTTACAACGTGTGCAAGTAATATTCTTATTATTAGCAGGCGATCTCATCAGTGGACTCTTTATTGCATCATAATGAGATTGACTCGATGTACCTGCCCGATTCCCTGCCTTGAAATTATTATGGTATTGTGGACTTGAATTGACTCTGCAGACAAATGCTTCTGATTTGGAATCAATTTGCTTCGCTTGAAGTTGAGTAAGCTCCATACTTTTCGCTATTTGCACCGCTTTTTCTTGAGTTAAGTTATCCTCTTGCAACAGCTTCTCTTTAATATATTTATTAGAAGATCTCAAACCGATGATGAATATGTCTCTGATGAGACTGTCTCTCAATGTGTCTAGTTCGCAAGTGAGACTGAGATTTTTGAGAACGGTTACGAACTCATCAATATTCTCATCAGGTCCTTGAACTCTTGTTAAGAAGTTGTGTCTTTCTATTGTCAGATTTGTCTTTGGTTGACAATGGTTCGCAAACTTACTCACTAAGTCATCATACTTGCAGGTATCCATGTCAACATCAAACGAATTGAAAATTGCAAGTGCTTCATTCCCAATGTAGTGAAGAAATATAGCTACTTTCCTAGAATCTTGTTCGTTTTCATATCCACTCGCTCTCAGATATATTTTGAAGTGCTGGTACCATACCTTCCAATTGTGTGAGAGATTGCCATCGATTACCAAAGGTTGAATAGAAGAAGAATTCAGTTTTGTTTTCTTTTCATTTTCTGCTGCAGATGATGATCCTGTAGATGCCTGCTGATGACATTGTTCTTGACTGACTGGCATTTTCGTTTTCTATTGTGTGTTCTTTTTTACTTTCTTGGACTTGCTATTATATTTTCTTGTATTTCTTTACTTCTGACACCATGTTATGTTATTTATTGTATAAATAATCAGATATTAATTTGAGACGTTTATTGACTGATTGAGCTACATGCATGTCAAGTATCTACTGACAATTCCCTATCTCCCTAGCAATACATGACGAATACCAGTTATATACAGAGTCTTGATCTATCATCATAACACTAATAACATTTCGTAAGCAAATTTAATTGATGCCGACTAGTATCCACTTCGAGTTTCATGTGAGATAATATATTTTTACCAGCTTTAGTGAAATGATTTTCTGAAAGACTGAGAAATTGGGCTACTATCGATCTATTTTTTATTTATTTGTGTAACTAAAGTGAATTAACTGTGTTTTATTTAACCTAACAATGTTATGGATATGAATTATTTTAATACTATATACATACTGCCGAGTTCCTTGTTACAAAATATATTTCCACCAACTTTAGGAATGAAATTAATCACAAGAATACTAGTATAAAGTACCACAGCTGCCTTATTAATATTTTGTGTACCCTAACTAAAGCGTTACCATAATCTCGATGGTAACGACTAAAGTCGGTATTTTGTATTTTATTGAGCGTAATCCCATAGTATTTTTTTAAATTTCGGAATGAAAGGACCCCGCACCGCTATAGGGGGGAAATTGGCTTTCGGTGAATTTTCTCGAATTTTGGATATATCGTTATAGAACCTGTGATGCTGATCAGATGTGCCAATTATCAACGCTCTAAATTCAATAGTTTGTATTATACAGGGTGCTGAAGTTCACTTTTTCAAAATTTCGAATGGCCATTGTGAAGTTTCCTTTTTGAATACCAAAATCAAATCGACTACATTTTGTTCGTCCATGTGGCCGGTGAAAATCCACTATAGAGTTCAATGATATCTGCACGTACTCACGATACACAGAGTTGGTCCAAAAATAGCAAATGTTCCAATTATTTTCGAAAAAGTGAGCGGTTGGAATCAATTCATTTTTGTACATTTCGTTGTGTACTAATATCAACATCGAGTCATGATAATTACATCTCTTGTATCCAGACTATATATTATACACAAGATGTTCGAGTTTCCATGAAACCGCACCCGTCCCTGATATCCATATCCATCGAATGATTGGAATCCTGTAAAACTTGGTGAGGAAGTTGATAATTCGTGATGACAATATTTTATGCGATACCTGAATCATACAGGGTGGTTCAAAAAGTAGTAGTGGAGTTTTCTTGGAGTTGACGTACTCAGGATTTCTGTCTTGGTTCTCAATTGCTCTGGAGTACGTTAACTCCAAGGAAACTCCACTACTACTTTCTCAACCACCCTGTATGATTCAGGTATTTGCATAAAATATTGTGATCACGAATTATCAACTTTCTCACGAAGTTTTACGGGATTTCAATAATTCGATGGATATGAATATCAGGACGGGTGCGGTTTCATGGAAACTTGAACATCTTGTGTACAATATGTAGTCTGATTCAAAAAATGCAATCATCATGAATCGATGTTGATATTAGTATACTACGGAATGTCCAAAGATGAATTGATTTCAACCGCCCACTATTTCGGAAATAATTGGAACATTTGCTACTTTTGGACCAACTCTGTATACCGTGAGTACGTGCAGATATCATTTAACTCTATAGTGGATTTTCACCGGCCACATGGACGAACAAAACGTAGTCGATTTGATTTTGGTTTTCGAAAAGGAAACTTCACAATGGCCATTCGAAATTTTGAAAAAGTCAACTTCAGCACCCTGTATAATACAAACTATTGAATTTAAAGCGTTGATAATTGGGACATCTGATCAGCATCACGAGTTCCACGATATATCCAAAATTCGAGAAAATTTACCGAAAGCCAATTTCCCCCCTATTGCGGTGCGGGGTCCTTTCCTTACCGAATCTCACACTAGCTTCAATTAAAAACAGGAAATTCTCTCTGGAACACGAACATTTAGAAAATTCTTCCTCTTCTGTGACTCGAGATATCTTGACACGGTGACCTCTTTCCTTTCAGACTGATTGCGGCAGGTCAAAGGTCGGTGCTGGACGCCGAGCAGGTGGTTTGGCAGCTGGTGAAGCTGCTGGCTTCGCACGACGACCCCACGCTGAAGACGAAGGTGGCTCGGCTGGCGAGGGCGCTACTGGAGTATCACCCGGAATTCCAGGCGTTGATCTCGACGAGGAAGAAGGACCTGGAGCAAGCAGTGCAAGGTGAGAGTTCGTTAGGAAAAATATGAAATATTGTGATATAAACAAACCGAAACCGAAATGTTACCAGCGGCGTTTGATGAAAGATTCAATTCACTGGGTCAGGACAAAGCAATGAGTCAAGTCTCGACTCCAGATAGTATACCGTGCGAGAAAATGAAACAAAAACTTGCTGATACTGCAGGTGAACGTGAACTACGTTGCATGCAAGGTTTTAAGCTCTCTAGCGACTTCATACAATTTCCGCGATAGCTGTTCAGCATTATCATATCCTTCATACAGCAGCAATCTATATTGAAAAATATGGTGAAACCTTTGCCGTGGCACTTCATATCTCCAAGGTTATGGCTTGCCTTCCCAGCTATGTTCTCTGCTAGCTAGTTTTCTCTCAAACAGGTATCTCCATGTAGTGCTCGACGGAGTTTCATCTGACTCTCTTATCATAAATGCTGGTGTTCCGCAAGGATCAATTATAGCACCATCACTATGTCTACTCCATATCAACGATTTGTTGGAAGCAACTTCATGTTCAGTACACAGCTTCGCGGATGATAATACCCTCCATACCGCCTTCTCTTCCAGGGCTCCAATACCATCCAGGCAAATCAGAAGCGAACGAGGGAAAAATGTTGACAATATAAATATGGACTTGGCAACAATTCTAGAATGGGGATCCAATAACTTGGTAGATTTCAATGCAAACAAAATATAATCATGCCTTTTCTCGGGAAAATCACGTGAGATCAATTGCAAAGAGTGCATCCCAAAAACTTGGTTTTCTGTTTCGGGCCAGGAGCTATTTCACTTCCAGTCAGTTGCTTATGATCTATAAGGCACAGATCCGACCTGTCCTGGAATACTGTTCCATATTTGGAGTGCAGCACCCAAACATACCCTGAAACTGTTGGATTCTGTCCAAAAGAGGACAATTCGTCTCGTGGGTGATGCCTCGCTCACAAACTCACTCACTTCTCTGGAACACCATAGACAAGTTGGCGATCTGGCCCTATTTTATAGATATTTCCATGGAAGATGCTCTTCTGAAATATCAACAATTGTTCCTCCATTGGCAGTCCCCGCGAGATTAACCCGTCGAGTTGAGGCTTTGCACTCCTTCGTGGTCACTTTGGAGACCTGCAGAACATCTCTTTCCAAAGACTCGTTTATCCAATGAACAGCGAGACTCTGGAACACACTGCCAAGGGAGGTGTTCCCCAAGGCATATAACCTTCAGAAATTTAAAAAGAACACCAATTCCTACCTTATTTCACTTGGTTCTCACGATGTTCTCTTAACATTACAGGATATCCCTTTTCGTGGGAACAGGAACATTAAAAAAATGCCTGGTGATGATTGGTCAGTCACATGAATATATCACAGTTACTGATATTTCAGGTCCAGGTTTACTCGTTGTATTTCAATTGAATCGGCTTTTACTTGATGAAAATTCATTATAACAATGGGTATACACCGCAGAACTCAAAGACCAGTTCTGTGGTATACACCTAACCTAACCTGAGTAATAATCTCCAGAGATTCACTTTTGCACACGTTTTATTTATTTTATTTCATAAAAAAATAACATCTACCTACCTACAAGGATTACCTATACACCACTTTTGATATTGCCTTATTTAATAATTATTATTAATAGAATAACCGTATATTGAAATGTCATGATATTATCACGCATATGGTGTGTATTCAACGGGTAATTATGAAATTACAGTTGTTACCAAAGAAATAGTGCTTATGGATGGATATCTGCAGTTATTTCATGAGTCATTCGTTTGTTGAAGATATATAGGTATCTTAATCGTAAATATCTTTTTTTTGTCAACATTTCAAACGTCTGGCAACAAATCTGTCTGTAGGTTAATGGCTTGATCGATTATTATTGAGTTGTAGGTATATCATACTCGATATCATACCTTCGATTTGTTATTGTTGTAAATTGTAACTAGTCTAGTATGGTATTCAATTCATTTGAAATGAATCGGCAAAATGAAGATGAACTGGGTATTATCTCATTTTAGAACTCACAAGCAAAATTTTCCTTTATAATTTCAGAATTTCAACATGACACGAAAATCATACGAATGATGAAACACAAGAAATAAAACAATTCCATCTATCTGGATGTATAGGGTATATCCGTATATTTTGTCCCCTACACTCAGCTTCAACTATATGATGTGAAAAAAACTTCGGATTTAAGGAGAGACTTGTACAGTCGTCTTCAGAGAACATGTCGCACATGGACGGTGTCAGCTCTCTTGATCTCCGCTGCAATAAGAGCGTTCATACCGTCCAACCGCGACATGTTCACTGAAGACGAGTGTACATAAAATATTCTAGTTTTTCCTAAATCCTAAATAAAAAATGAGAATATGAGTACGTGCCAGAGCCAGATTCAGGAATCGTAGGTACTTACTTTTATATTGTAATTGTAAATATGATATTAATTGGTATTCTTCAATGGTATGAAACAGAGAACATATACAGTGTGTCCCGCTTCACATGAATTATCTCCGTTAGTAATAATGCGTTTCTTGAAATTTTAGGGGTAATTGCATTTTAGAGAAATGAAGTATTTGGCATAGAAAACAATTGTTATTTAAAATGCGCGTCCGATATAGGGGGGTAAAAAGGCTATAGAATTTTATGAAAAAGGATTATTAGAGGGCTTAGTCCACATTACTTTTATTATCAGATTCACAATCAGCATCCCCAAAAACCGCAAGATTCACATTTTCAAAATTTCAAAACCTGATTTTGGGAGAAAACATATTTTGAGTATTTTTCAATAAGTTCTTTATGTGTAACTGATGGGGTATCAAAATAACGAATTACATTATTTCAGGAAAGGAACGGAGTTGTTTGAAATGCAATAGGATTAGGGCATTTGGTGAAATGAAAAGTTAGAAATGAACAAACTATTAGGAGAAAAATTCTGTTGAAATCAGCTCTAGATATTTGGAAAATATGTATTAAGGAGCTCTCGGGGATGCTGAATCTAATTCTGGTAGGAAAAGTTATCTAATATCAGCCCTAATATCCTTTTCCCTGAAATTCAAGCCTTTTTTACCCCCAACACCGCACGCCAATGGTAAATGAAACGGTTCACACTAGGTATGCCAAATACTTATTTCTTCTATCATTTCAAAATTTCAGGAAAATCGCACAATTAATAGCTGAGATATTTTAGGGTGTATTCATGAAAAGCGGGACACACTGTATAATTTGCATTTGTACAATAGTAAAAAAATATCGATCACCTTTATACCACTTGAATCACGTCTTTCGTCTTCAAATAATTTAGAAAGTGTATAGCATGCACGTTCTGTTTTAATGTTGAACGATAATGTGAGATGAAAATTGCTGTAACATTATCTGCAAAAATGGCTGTAACCGAAGAGGCGAAAGTGACTTTTTCTCTGATAAATTTCAGTGAGAAGGAAAGTGACGTTCTCATAATTATTCATGCATTCAATTATAATATGCACCTATATATTATGACTTGATGTGTTCTAATAGAATGACTTACCTTTAATCATAATTATTTAGAAATGAATCGGCGAGAACAATAATTATTATTTATAAACAATCCTAACACTTAACATTTCTGGATTCTAAATAAGTAGGTATATTCATTGAATTGAGCCTGATGTCGGTATGGTCTTATAAAAAGCACTGTAAGTTGTTAAACCGCCATTTTCAAATGATAATGCTTGTCTGAGAGTTCTGAGACGAATTTTCCATTTGAAACTGAGCTTACTAATTTCTATTTCTACAGTGCCTACGCAGATTTGAAGATTTTATCGTTGTCTATGTACACTCATTTCACAAGACTAATAAGTCTAGTCAAGTTTCAAAACGCCTAGAATTTACTACTGTCGAATCACAATCAATCTCAAACGACTAAATTAGTAATATCTCACAGATAAGTTGTTTATACCAGTAGAAGCAAGCACTATTTGACACATGGGGATATAGCTCAGTGGTAGAGCATTCGACTGCAGATCGAGAGGTCCCCGGTTCAAACCCGGGTGTCCCCTAGTTTTTTTTGTTTTCCTTCTATGACGAAATAATTGTTTTTGGGGATCTCTACATTAAATACAGTTTATCATATATAGAATTATTACCGATACAATGATGGCGCATATACAGACTACACTGAAGTAAATTGGCGAATGATGTCAATGGAAGGTTTCTTGAAATTTCTAAATTATTTAGAGAATCACAACAAAATTTAATATTTCGTTGAATGATATACGTAGTGGCGATCTTTGGTTCCAACAGTTCCTGTCGAAATCTGAGATTCCAATTATTCTAATGAAGTTTCATCGCCTTCATTCGTAGTTTCTTCCAATTGTCGTTTTCTTCACGAAAATACTACAAATTTAACATACACAATTTCACTGTTGTTAATTATACTATGATTTTTATTATTTCATTCGAATGGGAAACTATATTAATCAGTATTCACCATATCAGAATCGTCATTACAGGTGGACTCGGTGGAGTACAATATCAAATAATATCAATAGGATAAGTATTCCCCTATTTTGCTGTTTTTTTTTGAAGGGCTCCCGGAAAAGAGGATGGCAGTCGTCAACTGAGCCTTTCTTCGCATCCTATTCGATTGTATTATGGAAAAACGAAGTTTCAAAGCATTATCCAGAATGAAACACAAATTCCCACCTACAGCAACCCATTCGAATTAAATATATTGGCAAAAATTGTAGTGATTTAATCTCATTAGAGGTAAACTTCACACCTACTTATACAGGGCCCGCAGAACATAAACTTATCGTGAGATTGATAGAAAGAAAATTGGGGAAAATGTATTTTATTTCGATAGACATGCCGTTTTTTATAATTACCTACGACAATCGACACGCGAAGGCCTCAGTTAGCTGACGTCACGAGCTGTTCACTACGAGCCTTCAGGCCTTGTAAGTATCGGTTGAAACGATCGAACATAGTAAAACAAAAGCAATTTTGTGTTATATATATCCGTAGAAAAAATTACATTTCCGTCTCTAACTATTATTTTTACAATGGCAACCATTTTTTGACAAGCAATTTCCGAAAAATGAATTAATTGACGAATCCAACTATACTATTTTTGGATGTATGACAAATTGACATTCATCGTACAGGACGTGACTAATGCCACGCCAAACATTGAATTACATAGGGAAAGATACACTTTCATTAGTATTCGCAGAGATTATACACTCCGCATCTCTGGTATTCGTGTATACGTATCGATGCATTAGCATCACAGTTCAAAAGTAGTTGTTTTTGCACCGTCCCTCCCATCTATCATTGTTGTTCATTTACATGTACATTTGTAGAAATGAATTTGAGATTGTTTGTATTAATAATTCCAGAACTACGTCATTTGACAGGTTGCTGAGGTGCAAACATTGTATTTTGACAAGATTTGTCATATGAAACCAGAATAAGTGGGATCGTTTTCCTTGGAATCCGAGTTGGAACCCGAAAGAATGTCATAATTTTGTTTGGTGGAACTGTTATTATATTGTGGATATGGCAGGGATGGCCAGGGCTATGCTCATCAAAGGTCACCTAACAGATAGTTTGTGTACCCCTCAAGAAACCATGTCAAAATCACGTGTTTTAGAATGGTCAATTCATTTTCTTTTCCGATATTTACTTTCAGGTCTCGGCTGCCACGGTCTCACCCCCGACGTCACTGGCCTGACGCATCTGCACGCAGCCATCAAAACCGAACTCAGCCGCCATATTGATTCCTACAAGAGCGCCCTCCACCGGCTGGACGAGCTAGGACTGCCGTCGACGGACAACAAGAAACCTGTAGACGCGTCGCACCAGCGCCTGCTGGGATTGCGGCTGTCCGAGGTGCAGCAGCGGCTGATCGATAACAAGACGCTGCTCACGATCCTGGACAAGCCGGCGTTGAAACAACTGGACTCCCTGGTTGAGACACTCGCCACCAGGGTGCAGAGCGATAAAGAGGCGCTGTTTTGCGTGTCACAATTGAAAAGGTGTTTTTTCCGTTAGGCTATAGGCAAAGTACTTCCTCTAAACTACACTCACTGGCAAAAAAAACAGCCACTGTTGCAAAACTGGCAAGTGATAGGCCGATTACGTATTAATAATAAATCTCAGGTGTAGGGTGTCGAAACTGAGAGAGGAATAATCAGTGGCGTAACTTCATATTTTGGCACCCCCGGCCAAAATCATTTAGGGCCCCCTCGAGACAAACCTTTTCAGTCAGAAATCCCTTCTTTCCATGAACTCTTAGTTATATTGAATAACCAACGAGCTTCACAATATACGCTTTATTTCCTTTATTGTGAATGACACAACCATTTTCTTGGAATAATTTGCCCAGCATGACTTTTCTGTGAATAATAGAAATCAGAGAGACTCTTCTTTTGGTGAATTTATATCTGGCTGAGACGGGCCATCTTTTTGGTTTTTTTTATCGCTTGGAGCGCACGAAAGGGAATCCCTATAATGTTCAAAGAACATCGTGCGTTCCTAGGGAGGATAGGGACAGGAGGTAGGTATTGGAATTTTTTTTGAACTTTTGGAGATTATATGTTGTCGGGAATACTTCTATGGATGAAGGAGTCTTGGTAAAGTGGTGTTCGACATTTTTATCGTGGTGCTCAATTCTCGCCCACTGAAATTGCCTTTATCACAAGGAAATAATTCTTTAATTAATACATCCAGTGATGAATCATCTGACTCAGTTCCATCTCCAGGAGTTCTCGCATTCAAGTCAAGTATGGGCTCCTCGTGGATTTCAGATAATATAATACTTTTTATGTTCACAATATCTGTACCTACAGTTTCGAATGCAGTAGTAGCAGAAGTCTCGTAAGCTAGTGAATATTTCTTTTAGGCTCTGATAGGAAAACGCAGTTACATTTTGGGGCAAATCATCTGATTTGTCCTCACTATACACGTATATTGAAATAATAATCATATTTTTATTTTATAGAAACGAGGAGAGAAAATCCCAAAAATCTGAAATAATAGTTGATCTTCCATAATGATTGCAGAGTCAACATCCATTCCTGTTTCAATCATCATACTCTGCTACTACTTGATGGACATTCATCATAATATTCAACTGTATTATCCGAAACAGTATAGTAGTATTCGTAAAGAACGTGGTAATCTTGGAAATTTTACATTCTCATCATCTAACTTTTGTTTCCTTCTTTTTTTTTGAAGCACCACTAGTTTTAATCCAGTTCTCCATTTGAAATAATTGGCTTGTATTGCCGATTTCACACATCACCCTGGACCTACACCAAAAAAAACATGCCTACACTATTCGCAGAAATGGAAAAATTATTTCTGTGGCATATTCATGATTAAAAATATTCATGTATCAACCAATTTGGCTGAGTCCTTGCTCTGGTTGGTGGACCCAGGGACCCAGGGCCCCCTCCGAGGAACGGGCTTCCCGCAACCGCAGTGTTTCGCGGTATAATAGTTACGCCACTGGGAATAATCAGTGATTACTTCTGATATTTTGAAGTAAATTTTTATCTGAAAATATCTAAAAAGGACCTGGCACCAATAATCTTAGTATAATATTACTGTCTAAACCAAAAGGTTCGCTTCTTGACTACTCATATACACTATTTCGAACTAAGAAAACAGAATCGGATTACGCAAAGATTAACATGAAGCGAAACTCTCTTTCTTGCAATTTCTTCCACACTAACATCAAGGCTCAACAAAAAAAAACTCTCCTGAGTACCGGACTGAAACACACGCAAATTTAGGACTAGAATATGGATGCAGGCGACATCTATTTTTCGGAAGAAGAGGCAAAAAGTTTGAATGAAAAGATTACTAAGACATTAAAAGTAAAGAGTATCGACATCTTGCCCTGCAACACCACCAGAAGAATTAACAAAATTTTTCGCCCCGTATTCAGGAGACCCCTTTGAGGAGGCCGTAGCTCCCTTAGTAGCCATTTTTCGACTTATGTTAATTGGAACTCTTCTTCCTAATTTTGGTCGAAGAATTGCCCTGCAACACCACCAGAAAAATTAACAGAATTTTTCGCCCTGTATTCAGGAGACCCCTTTGAGGAGGCCGTAGCTCACTCAGTAGCCATTTTTCGACTTATGTTAATTGGAACTCTTCTTCCTAATTTTGGTCGAAGAATTGCCCTGCAACACCACCAGAAAAATTAACAAAATTTTTCGCCCTGTATTCAGGAGACCCCTTTGAGGAGGCCGTAGCTCCCTTAGTAGCCATTTTTCGACTTATGTTAATTGGAACTCTTCTTCCTAATTTTGGTCGAAGAATCTGCTACTGACGTATGGCTTTATCTCTATTCTCTCGGTCCAATATCCGAATCATTATGCACAAAGGTATATAATATGCCATGGACAATCGACGGCATTTGAACAAATGTCAATTTGACACTTCTGTCATCATGAATTAATTGATTTGTATATTGTGTAACTGTTACGAGTAAACAGAAAACAAAATCCCTTGGTGAGGAAGTGCCTGGTTGCCAAGTTGTATCGGGGTCAGTAAAGCTGAAATCAGTTGTGAAAAAAATAATGCTATGGCAACCGTTGTCATGGTAACAGGTAAACAAAATTCAATATTTTATTCACGAATTAAATATTGTAAAGTTTCGGAGCATCGGCTGGGGATAGTCCTGCACGATTCGCTGTTGCGTTCCAATTGACAGTGCTGCTCCTAAAGTGGCGCATGGAGTTAGTAACAAAGCCTACACAGAACACGCAGAAAGATATGATGATGTGGTTGTGAGCATCAGAGAAGAATTAGGACGGTGTATGTAGGTGGGTGTGGAAAACTACCAGCTGAGCGTGAGAGCGGGCCAGCTGCTTAGTAGACCTCGGTCTCGGGGGTTAACGAGGATAGTTAGCAGGCCTACCACTGCGCATATGGTAGTGAGTACATTACTAGTCTACAAAACACAGCTGAAAAACTCTGAAAGAGAGCTGATGGGCGGTGCCTGAAAAGGATGTTAGCCAGCTCTCTTGAGCGAACCACATCAGTCATAGAAAACACTTGGGGTTTGCAAAAAGGTCCCATTGGGGACTAGTTGCTGACGTGGAAACGTCCCATACCAGTACCAGTACCAGTACTCACCACGGGAATCGGAATTTTGTTCACTCGTTACCATGACGATCGTTGCCATGCCAATAGTTTTTCCATAACTGATTTCAGCCAAACTAACCCGATATAACTTGGCAACCACGCATTTCCTCACCACGGGAATCGGGTTTTTGTTTACGCGTTACCATGACAATCGTTGCCAAACGAAACTTGAGCCCGACCTGAAATAGAGAAGTTTTTGAACGAAGCTTCCGATGGAGAGTACTTTTTGATGAAAGTGGCTTTGATAATGGGGATTAGCGGTGCTTGTAGATGCAATGAATTGGTCGATTTGAAAATAGAAAATATTCAGGACAAAGGGAAATATTTTTGCCAGACACTAAAACCAAGAAATCGAGGAGTTTCTTTGAAGAAGGATTTCCAGTCAACCCGATCAATTTGTGTAGAAAATACCTGTCTGTGAGACTGTGAGGCCAAATATACTAGTTCTAACAGGTTTTTTTATTTTTTACAAAAATGGGAGGTGTACCAGCCAGTGTGTGGGAATAAATACGTTGTCGAAGATACCTTCAAGAATTGCAAAGTTTTTGAACTTGAAGGAACCAGCGCTCTACACCGGCCACTGCCTGAGTAGGTCTTCGGCACCTCTTTTGGCCAATGCAGGGGCTATCATGACTACTTTGAAGCGTCACGGAGGATGGCAGTCCTCGATGGTAGCAGAAGGATACCTAGAAGAATCGGTGCATAACAAAATAAAAATTGCAGGAAAATACAAGGTTCTAATGTGTCGGCGTCTTCCAGCATTATCAGCAGCTGAACCGATATGGGAGCATCTGGTTCCAATGAACCAACTAATTTTACAATTACTTCAAACGCGAATAAACCGTTAGCGTTTTCCTTTAATTTCAATATCAATGTGAATCCTGCCTGTAATAGTAGTATATAAATAGAATACTCACTAGTGAGTTATGGATTATAACACACTAGTGTGTTATTTGATAGTTCACTTGTCTAAAATGACATTGATTATGACAGTCATAACTGTCATGTGTTAAATAATGTGATAAAATGACTAATATCATCCGCCTTTCCAGACTCCAGCAGGTGGGCCGCGAGGACGTGCCTGTGGCGGCCATATTGATGTCCTTCTCTAAGGGCTGCAGCGCCCTCTTGGACCTCATGCAGATCCCACACAGCCCCTGTCACAGCGACACGGGATACCACTCGGGAGCGGAACAGGACCAGGACGTTGGGTGAGTCAGGGCAGGGGCGGATCTTCATAGTACCCTCCAATTTATATATAGCGAGAATTCGGAAGTTTTCCTCGAACGAATTATCATAGAATTAATATTCAACTATCTAGTATTACCAACGTAGGTGATCCATAACTTACAGTGGAGGTGATATAAATCAGGAGGGGTGAAAGAACTTACAGTCACAACTCCACCACATAAACTTTTTTTAAATAATGACCAACGGTCATGGATATAAGTAAGGACATGTTTCGAAGGATTTGTCCTTCATCATCAGCAAATGTATCGAAAGAAAATCTGTAAGAAGAAACAATGCTTAGACGAATTCTGCTTGGTCTCAAAACGAATAAGGCTGACGGTCCTGATGGAGTTCCACCCATTATCCTCAAAAAAAGTGCACCAGAATTACCACCGATTCTCTGCAAGTTGTTTACCGTCTCGTACAGGTCGGGTATTTTTCCATCATGCTGAAAGACAGCTAGAGTCCAACCAATCCCCAAAAAAGGGAACAAAAACCTGCCCAACAACCACAGGCCCATTGCCTTGTTATCAGTAATCTCCAAAGTGATGGAGAATGCCATCAATATTAAGCTTATCAAATATCTGGAGAGCTCAGGAATCATCAGTGATAGACAATACGGCTTTCGCCACCGATAAGATCAACTGGAGATCTACGTGTCTACGTCACCTATTTATGGCAAGCTCCATTATTAGAAAAACACGGGGAATCTCTAGCTGTTGCCTTGGACATATCGAAAGAATTCGACCGTCTTTGGACTCCTCCACAAACTACCATCATACGGCTTACCACCTCAGCTATGCAATTTCTTATCGAGTTTTCTTTCAGGCAGATCGCTTCACGTGGTGGTGGACAGTGTATCGTCTGATACCATTGGCATCAATTCCGGCGTTCCACAAGGATCAATTTTGGCACCAACATTATTCCTTCTTCATATCGATGATCTGTTGGGAGTAACAACTTGCCCCATCCACAGCTTTGCAGATGATAAAAGGAATATTGTGTATAATCTACTATTGAATCATTCGTGGTCGAATTTTCAAATTTGTATCCGTCCAAAAAAAAGCCGCCGCTACTGATGCATTAGGGGTAACAAGAGGAAGGAATAGGATTCTGCTAGGGGAATAACGGGACGCTGTGGATTAAGGGGGAGAGGCTGAACTCGGAAATGGATGACATTGCATTTTTAATAATTGAACCTAAATATACCGTTGAGAAGTAAAAGCAGTGATCACTGGCTGTGCTTGTCTCAAACTACCTTTTTGGTACAGAATAAGTTTTGAGGGTTGGGCAGTGAATATCATTGGTGATTGGTATTCAAACTTATTGGTTTTGCTGTAACATTCACGAATTCACTAGTATTGATCAAATCCTTATACTGTGGGTTATATCGTCGGTGGTAACGGTTATATTCATCTGTTCATATTTCATGAAAAATACACACGCAATAGTTTTTTCGTGATTTAACATATTCTACAATCAAGATATCATGTTTTCTATTGGTGTATGATTGAAAATTTGTATGTAAATATTTTGTTTCAATTCAATGGTCGATAGTCTTCCACTCTTTCAATCTCTTTGAATTTCATGCACATATTTATTCAGATTCACCACCTTTATTTCATGAGATCATTTGTCCAAGAGTTTTCCAACATCTTGCAGAAACTAGTGAAACTACTTCTTAAGTATTCTGAAGATGCCTGGGTGATCGATGTTATATGGCTGCTCTAGTTTCATTTCAAACTCCTAGTATAGTCCTAGTGATATATCTATCTATCTGGTTCCTGTCATATTGAACTAAGTATTGAAACAAAGAAAATCATTCATCCCTATTCACTTTTTCCAAAAACCCTATAACTATATGATCGTCTGAATACAAAATTTCCTCGCATTGAAATTTTGTGTCGAATTGATGGGAAACTCAATTTTGCATATTCCTCGGAGTTACATAATAAAGTTGGAACTTGTTTTCAATATTCACTTTTCCAATGAAAAATCGGAAAGCGGACTAAAAAGTTCTTCAACTAATAAAACTCCACCTCGTATAGATTACCACTGAGTAACGAGTTTTCTTTCGCAAAAGTTCAATTCATGAAAGTTCTATGGCAAGGAGACTAGATTGGATGCGGTTCATTTCATTCGTCTGATGAGAAACTCGAAAAGTTATTCATTTCTGCAGTTGCATGAAAAATAGAGATATTTGCGATATTACATAAGATATTATTTGAAGGAAAGTACCAAGTATGGTGAGGATAATTGATTTTGAAGCATCGCTGGTCTATCATTTCTCCTTTAAAGTGCAAATAAACTGACTAAATCGATTCCCAACTAAAGTAAACACCAATTTCCCGATTTTATCACGTACCTACCAATCATCACATAGCAGCAGGCATCAGAAACTACACTAATTCCAGGACATTGTTATATAGATATAGCCCAATCACCTTAGTATCAAATTTGACGAATAGCGGGAATCGAACCCAAAGTTTTAAAAATTGGTGTACATGTTCCCTTTGGCATGACTTTCAACCAAAAAAAAGTCACCAGCTGTACCTGTAGAGCTAACTCCGCCATCTTGAAAAATGTGTGCACTTTTTCAGTTATTCGGTTATATCTCAATATCTGCTGACTTTATCGAGATCAATATGCTCAGGTAAAATGAAGGTAATCGAATTTAGAAAAAAAAAAGGTCCCTACATAAATATTCGTTTAGTGCATGGTTCATCAGTAAATCGTTAAACAATATGCGATATTTGAGAAACTTACTCACAATAATTCTGATATACATAAATTCCATCTACAAGTAACTGTCAGAGAGTCGGCGCCACATTCGAGTATCCTCGCAACAGCGATCGTCCATTACAGAATACCAGTGTTGCCACATATTCAGGTTTTCTCAAGTGAGCCGTCCTGTAACCTAAAGTAGCTCGAAGAGCAAGAGTTTGATGTTGAAATAAATGAATTGTAGCCCCTAAATAACCTCAATCGAATCAGATTTGGAATAATGCTGAGACATCTTGAATGAATATTGAAATAAAATTATTGCTTTCACCATTCATGCAAAAATAGCTGAACTTCATACAGATACAAAAAACGAAGGGTTCAAGGCACAAAGTAAGCAGTGGACTATGCAGATTCGCTAATAATACAGACATCTATTGAAATGTCTTCCTCTACCCAAGTCACCGTTGTTGGAGAAGATGTAGATCTACTTATTCTACCCATAGCTTTGGCTCCAGCAGAACGCAACATTTATTTTGTCAAACCAAAAAGAGGCAATGTAGAGGCAAAAAGGTACTGTTTCCGCGAACTACAAACCAGTACTAAATTACAGAGCATTATTCTTTTCTTACATGCCTTTGGATGTTGTGATACCACATCATGTTTCTTCAGAAAAGGAAACTCGAAATGCTTTAAACTCATGACGGACCAGCCATCATTACGAGAAGTTGCGAAGACTTTCAACAACCCGGAAGCTACGAGTGAAGAACTATCTGCAGCAGGTGAACGATTTGTTCTAGCTCTGTATGGTGCCCATACAACGGAAACATCATTGAACAAGCTCCGGTACAATACGTTCGCTAAATCTGCTACCAACAAGAAAGTAGATCTGGCTTCTCTGCCACCGACGGAAGCAGCTTTGAGGCAGCACTCCTTCAGAGTCAATCACCAGGTACAAAAGTGGTTAGGTAATCAAAAATGTCCTGAGCTTTGGGGGTGGAAGAGGAGTGCTGTTGGTCTGGTACCTGTGCCAACTACCCTACCTGCTGCTCCAGATTCTTTGCTCCAGATAATTTCTTGCAATTGCAAGAAAGGATGCACGGCATCGTTTTTTTCCGTTTCATCCCTTATAAGTAATGAATACGGACGAACCCAAGATGACATGCTTTATTCTCCAGAAATTTAAGAAGAACACCAATCCCTACCTTATTTCCCTTGGTCCTGACGATGCTCTCTGAACATTACAGGATATCCCTTCTCGGGGGAACCAGAACATAAAAAAAAGCGAATACTGATAGGATAAAACGTAATTATGATTTCAGCCAGTCTCGACTTGAATTGAACGATTATAGCTATAAATGCTTTTTTGCAGGTCACCAGGAGTGTATATAACTGAATTATAGTTTGTCCAGTCGGTTTGCAGTAGAATTTCATATTTTGCCTAATCGTTGTGGCGACATAAGTCCAAAAGCGTGGATATTTCGGAAATAATTGCTGAATACTTTTTTACGAGAAATTTTGTTAGCTTCCTTTTACCTTACCACCTTTATCGCGATAAAGTTGACAGTTACCGAGATATACGTGAAAAACTGAAATATTGCACCTATTTTCCAAGATGGCGGCGAAAGCTCTACAGGTACGGGTGGTGACTTTTTTTTGGTAAGATGTAATGCTTAAAGGAACACGTACACCAATTTTCAAAACTTTGGCTCCGATTCCCGCTATTTTTCCTAAGGTGACTGGGCTAATAGACATTATTCAAAATATAGTCCTATTGTTACATATACCCAGACACTTTGATTCACGTGACGTTAATTCATTATTCATAACCTTCCATTACAAATGAACTAATTTTGATCATAAACAAATTAACATAGCTGTATACTAGCTTTCAGAATACGCCAAATCGTATTTGTGTGAGTATATATCGGTGCCCACGTTGTGTGTAGAAGCTATACATAATTATATCCATTGCAATCCCTACTGATATTATAAACGTGAATGTGAGTTTGTTTGTTATGCTTTCACGCCAAAACTACTCAACTGATTACCATGAAATTTTGTATACATATTCTTGAATAAATTAGAAACGACATAGGATACTTTTCATTGAAAAAAAATCACGTATGTTTTTTTACGGAGGGTGAAAAAAAATATTTTGGCAGAAATGATTGTGGGTCAAGAAATTCTATAATCTAGTAACTTGATATCTTATTTACTATTGAATAGAATAGCGTTTATTGACCACATTACATACATG